GTTGGGGGTGGGGGAGGAGGGATGGGGATGAGGGGAGGGAGAGGGAGAAGGGACTTACATGTGAAACAAGCTTGTTCCCTAACTTGAACTAATAAAAAATTTTTTTTAAAAAAGATAGCTATAATATAAAGAATTGCTAACGTGATAATTTAAAAATATTCCACTTAAGGTAAAGTTTTAAAGGAAAGAATTGAGCTATAAAATAGCATTAAAAAACTGGTTCTAAAAAAAATGTGTTTCACCATCTGGAATGTTTGCCATATTTGTGCCAATGTGAGGCCAAAATTTGAAGTTTCATATAGTATTACTCTAGTCTTTGTTTTCAGTGTCTTAGGGAAAGAACTGTGGTGATCAAATACCTAATTTATACCTCCAAAGTTGATTTAAAGATGGGGGGTGAAGAATCTTGGTTAAAGCAGCTCTCAAATCTCAAAGCCGTGGAATTCCTTTTTCTGTCTCTAATTTAGCAAGAGTCAGTTCCAAACATTCATCCATAATAGATATGCTTGTCATTTTTCTCTTCAGTTGTCAACCACCAAGCTGAATTTATTTCCCAACCACCCACAATTTGGGGGGTAGGGTGTCTCAGAAATCAAATCCAAGTCCTAGTGCATGATAGACAAGTGTTGGAGCCCTGAGCTAAAACCTAGTACACTTTGGGGAAGGTGTAGCAAGAACTAATAGAGAGGCAGCCTTGGCATGTGACAAATAGGCATCATACCCACATACTCTGGAATACTATATCAGTCTTCATAGTAGCTTTCTGATCCTAAGAGATGATGTCATCCATCTAAATGAAATTCACTGTCTTCATCTTAACACTGGAACAGTAATAATGGCTTGCTCCCTGGAATGTTGAGAAAACTAAGTAAAATGCAGGGTGCTTGGTATTGGTCCTGACTGATGTAAATACTCAAGAAACATAAATAGCTGTTAGCTAAGCATGGTGGCACACACCTTTAATTCCAGCATTTAGATCTGTCTCAAAGAAAAAAAGGGAGAGAGGAAAGAAGGAAGGACAGAGGGAGGAAAAGAGGAAGGAAGGAAGGAAGGAAGGAAGGAGAGAACGAACTATCATTGTCATCAGTATTCCTTTGTAGTTTTACTAAAAGACTGACTTAGTCCTAAAGAGCTGCTTCAGCCTTAAGTTACTCGGTCAAGAAGCAATCTAAAACGTACACAATTACCAATATGTAATCTAGTCTTAGGACACTAAAGGCTAAGTTTATGTGGTCTAGAGTAGATGTTTATTTGCATTTGTAGAGATCCTGAAATTGTTGACTTCCTCAGGGCATGACAAGAACTACTCCATGACATACTCAGCGTTCAGCATGGGAAGAGAAGTATTTTTGAGGCCTCTTGTCTAGGTAGATTTTATTCCTTCCTATTTGTGAGACCAGGGTCTTCTCAACCATCATGTTCTTTCCACACATTTTGAGAGGAAAAAGTTTCCAAGGTACCAGAAATATTTAGGCCCTTAAATGAAAAAAAGGGAATCAAAGAATATACCCTTAATCTTTTAGATCATTGTCCATAGCTTAATGTCTCAGCTATGGTGACAGTTAATGGTAACTTTTAACAGTTCAGTAAGGGTAACTCCTTAATCCTGAAGAATATATAACAGTTAAGATTTCCTCTAGTCTCCCACTTCCCCCAGAAAAACCACTTTCAGCTTGGAGCTTCTTTGTTCTTAGCAAAAAAAAAAAAATGTGGAAAGCTTTTATAGGTGTACTCGTCTAAGTTGTTGGACCTGCTTCTTTGGAAAAGAACCCTATTCTAGATAGACTAAGTCCCATGTAGTGCAGATTAGAACATTATTGGATAACACTTGTAAACCTTAACCTAAGGGGCTGGAGAGATGGCTCAGAGGTTAAGAGCACTGACTGCTCTTCCAGAGGTCATGAGTTCAATTCCCAGCAACCACATGGTGGCTCACAACCATCTGTTATGAGATCTATGCCCTCTTTTGGTGTGCAGACATACTTGGAAGCAGAATGTTGTATATATAATAAATAAATAAATAAATCTTTTTAAAAAAAGATTCAGCTGTCTTTAAAAAAAAAAAACCTTAACCTAATTAATATCTGTCTATATTCTGTTTATGGAATTCCAACATTTATTCAGTGTGCTCTGGATAAAGCACCTGGCTAATGGTCTTATATCAGATTTACTCCCTTGGCAACTTAGTAAGCTAAAATATTTTAGTATCTCTGTTTAGTGGGCAAAGATGTCAAGAGTCAAAATTTATGTGATTTGCTCCCAGGTTACTGAACTAGAAAGAGCATCTAAAGGTAAGCATCTGTGTCAGGAAATCTTTGTCCACAACCCCCATCCTTAACTGGGTTCTTCAGTCTGTGCTGGTCATCAATCTATGTATTCTTGGATCCGTTCTCTCTCTACCCATGCCCTGCCCCATGTAGAAATGTACAGTTCCAGAACCTTGCTTTCTGACTTCTGGGCAAATTTAGCTAGTGAGAGGCATTAATAGAAAACTGAAAACAGAGAAAGCCACCGATTTCTCCTATTTCTTTAGGTGTCATTCCCTTCCTGGCCTCCAGCCTTTCTCTCCCTGGTTCCAGTTCCAGTGGGTGGCTTCCATTGGCCTTTACCCAATCATCCACTCTCACCCCTCCAACCTAAGAGTGGTGGTGGTTTTCTGCTGTTGCTTTCTTTAGCTAAACCTTCCCACTGTTTTGTGTGCCTGCTGTCTCATCACCTATAAGTCTAACTTCTTGAAAGATCTGTTTAAAGGGTTGGATTGCTCCTATAACCCCTCTGAATCACTTGGCATTTCAGGTGACTTGGCTACCTGAGAGATGGGGTACCTTAATGAGCACCATGCCAGATCTACTTCAAGAAAGAACTTTTAATATTTTTAAATAGGAAAGTCTCTCTATAGCCATTGCCATGAGCTGGATGCTTAGTTGATTTGTTACATTTTTCCCCCTGCCCACCTACCTAGCCCTCATTGTCCACTATGAAAATCTAAGAAACATGCTGAAATTTAGATGCTATTTCAGGACCCGTCTTCTCACAAGTAACTCTTTAATATTCATAGTCTGAAAAAGTAAAAAAGAGTGGAAAACCATTCTGTAGTGTAAAGGTGAATTTAGCTGGGCGTTGGTGGCTCACGCCTTTAATCCCAGCACTCAGGAGGCAGAGGCAGGCGATCTCTGAGAGTTCAAGACCAGCCTGGTCTACAGAGTGAGTCCCAGGACAGGCTCCAAAACAATACAGAGAAACCCTGTCTCAAAAAGAAAACAAAAAACAAACAAACAAAAAAGGTGAATTTAGCTTGTCCTCATCAATTTTACGTCTATTGTCAAATCAGTGTTAGTAATTTATATACTAAGCATTCTTGGGAAAACTTGCATATTTTCTCACTTTTATATAATTGTGATAATTTGAATGAAACAAGTATAAACAATTGTTTAAACATTAAAGTGGTAGAAAAACTGGTTTCTTTTGTGTAATCAGATCTCATTTTGCAGCTTTTGAATACATTTGTGTTTCCCCAGCTGGGGCCCCTCCCAGTCAAAAACATTAAATAAATATTAGAAAATGTTCCCTTCAAAACATATAGTCTTTGTTTCTTCTTATTTGCCCTGGCTGTCTTCTAGATAAGGAAAAAAACAAAATTGACCAGGTATTATTTGCAGCACAAGCCATCAGCACTTGCTAATTTTTAAATTCGTTTTGGAAAATCACCCTTCACATAGGAGATTTGCCCGAATTTAATAGCATTTTCATTAAAACTTTGATTTATATCTAAAGTGGTCATGTATATATAAACATGTAAAAAGTAATATATTGTCATTCAAAATGTCTCCTCTCATCCTGTCTTTTTAATTGCTGAATGTTACGTTCTTATAAAAAGCATTAATATTCAGCCTTAACAAGAGGTAGTGGCTTTCTGTGTAAGACCAATAACATCTGCAGTTCCATTCTGTGAGATTTCTTCCTTGGTATGACCATTTGCTTTCTTAATCCAAGTCTTCTAATATTAACTTCTATTTCATTTCCCATTGTTTTTGTTTTACTTTCCTTATCTTTTCCTTGCCAAAAATCTTAATTGGGGCTGCAATAGGGGAATTTGAAAAATTTTGTTTTCCTGGGGGTAACTGTGAAATGAGAGCAAGACAGATTAATATATGAAAAACTAATGAATTTATCAAGAGACTTTACTTCCCCCCCCCGAAATATTTTTTAAACCAAACTCAGATTTTATAGTATTTTAAGTTTTTTTTACATTCTCAATCCATACTTTCACATTTTAATTCTCTAATAAACAAAAGACAAATGTTTATATCCTTGTGTCTATGAACTTATTTATTATTAATCTACTGTTGTTTTTTTGTTTGTTTGTTTGTTTGTTTGTTACAGAACCGTTTGGAAAAAGACAAAAAGAAAGTCCTGTGAATTAATTTTATAAAAGAAGATTGTCATACACCGTGTCAAGAAAATAAATTTGTTATCATGGTAGCCACTAACATTTTCAAAATTCAGCCAAAAAAGCTCTGCTAGCAGCCACAGGCGCACATAGGCTATATAGTACTGATGTTATCAAAATATTTGATAATGCTTCAGATATAAAGTATGTGTTTCAGCTCTATTGAAAAATATAAGCATGTGAATGCCATATTTATATATTGCTAATAGCATTGGTATATAGTGGCTCTTTCCCCATAAAAGGAAAAATTCACTAGCCATTTGCTTCCCAAAATAGTTCTGAAGTTGCATGAAACCATTATTAGCCTTAAAAGCTTTGATGTGTTTTCAGTAATAATCAGTGGTGGTGGTGAAAATGATGTTTAAAAATGGTACTCAGTCAGAAAATTTGTTCACAGGGAAATAACCATAAATAACCACAATAGCCACTGTATTAATAGAGGAGAGTCAGAGAGAACAATGAAAACAATGGCCGTAGGGTTTCTTCAGCCTAGTGAGTCCACTACACATGGCAGCCTAGTGAGTACTCTACACATGGCAGCACTATTGTTAGCTGTGTTTTTTGTTACTATGCTTCTGTACCTATTAGACTATTTTTAATTGATATGTGTTTAGTCATATATAATCAATATTCTATCTTTGCAAGTTCATCTAGTAATAGAATTTATGTCCATTTGTGTAACAGTCGTAACATTGGACTGAACTATGTTGCACTGTGGAATTCTCCACTTACAAAGCTCATTTATGACATCCAAAAGGTCATGTTTCTTATGCTTGTGAAAGTTACTGACTATATATATATTAATTACCTCAGTATACATGCACTGGTATCAAACAGATCTCTCAACGATGTTTCTGTATTTTCAAAGTTAAATACTGGTTTTCATGCAAATATTCATGTAGAGGTAGTAATTATAGTAATATAATTTAGATTATTTCAATGTTTAACTGTGAAAAGCCACTTGTCTTAAAATGATTTAAATATAAAAGAAAATATAAAGCAATAATTGGAGTTTTTAACTTCCTTAGTCTTTATCTTTTTATGTTCATTATAATTTTAATGCCAGTTTGATACCTAATTTTATTTAAGATAAAACTGAGGAGTTAGTGCTAGGAAACAGACATGAAGAAGATGTGTCTGGTGACATCAGGGGTGACACCACCATAAATAACAAGGGAACACTGGATTAAAAGAAAACTGAGCATATCCATCTTAAACTGTAGACTTAGAAATAGCAAAAGAGTAGCATGATAGATACTGAATGTTTGAGATCTTGACCTGCTCTATAGAAATCAGCTCTAATGTCAGAATAACATAAATTGAAGAGAAAGTGCACAGCTTCACAATTGGCAGAAAGAGAGCTGACCCAGCTTCACCACTTGTTTACTCATGTGTTTTGAACAAAGTATTCAAATTTTCTAGGCCTCTTTTACCTCATTTCCAAACGGAGACTATTACAATTTAGATAAGTGTTACTATATAAACTAATATGCTGTTTCTCAAAGTTATGATTAGTATAGTATAGAAAAATTCATGGATTTGAAAGTTTCACCAAAAAAGTACTTTAAAGTTTACAGTTAGGGAATCTTTGACCTCACCTCTCAATTTTACAGACCTATTATTGAAAACCTCAAAAATTTGAGGAATTTTCCTGAGGGAAAATGGAAAAGAATGAATCTTTAGGAATTGCTAACCCTTAAACAACATTATATAGGTATAAACTGATGTCATGACTGCTCCAAGGTGAAGGGGAAGGTTTTTATTGTAAATATGAGGGAGGGAGAGAGCAGCCAGAGGCATTAGGAAGACGCCAGAACAGTTGTCACCTGAGCATGGCCAGCAGACTGGAACTGGCCAGGAGAGAGAGGAGAGCAAGAGATGAAAACAAGAGGACTGCCAGAGACCTGCTTCAATGGGGGTTCAGGTCCCAAAGAGGGTGTGTGGAGTGGTGGTGGGAGACGACACGACCTGAGGGTGAATCTGGATGACTGCCAGGGTGTTTATTGAAAAAATCATTTATTGAGCTGGAGAGATGGCTCAGAGGTTAAGAGCACTGACTGCTCTTCCAGAGGTCCTGAGTTCAATTCCCAGCAACCACATGGTGGCTCACGACCTTTTCGTTATGAGATCTGGTGCCGTCTTCTGGTTTGCAGGTATACATGGAAGCAGAATGTTGTATACATAATAAATAAAATATCTAAAAAAAAAAGAAACAAAGAAAGAAAAAATCCTTTATTGCATGTAGGATTATGTGGAGGGAAGGCGGAAAGTTTGACCTGGGATGTGGCTTGAGAGCATTGGTTGAGGAATCTAGCTAGCATTGACCTTGAAAATAGGCACCACTCTCAAGTTAATGGGAGGCCACAAGGTCCCTCTTGCCAGAGATAAGAATGACTGCTCTAGCAAGCAGGAACTTACTTCAAAGCCCCCTCCCCCAAGGGATGGAAACCCTTCTTATCCAAATGCCAGACCTTGGGAAAAGGACTTCTGGGGAGCAGACACTATACTGCAGTTTCGTAGTCTTGAAAAGTTTGTACACCCTGATAATTCTCTCTGCCGATGCAACAATCCAAATTAGAAAAAGCCTATGTTTAATGGATACAACGCCCCTGGGTGGCTTTCCAGTCACCTAGAGAGGAGATGGGAAAGGGAGACCGGAAAAACCAGTCTGTTCTCTGGTGGGGGAGGGGGAAGTTTAAATACCCTGTGGGAGTGGTCTTGTGTATCTCTGGGGGAGGGGTCATCATTTGGTGGGCTTTCTGCAGGAGGGTTTGGAGGGAGATGGGGAGGAACGGCTTCCCCCTTAACAACTCTCATCACGCTCTCAAAAGGGAAGGTCCTGATGTCTTACTCTTTTCTCATTATACCATACCATTCTGATTTCTCTGTATTTACTAACTGAACTCTTACCCTTAATGGCCTCAGGCTCTGCAGCTGAATTGTAGGCATTTCATCCTTGAAATCAGGTGTGTGTCTAGTAAATCTCTAACAGTCCTGTTCTTGGTATAATTAGCAGAGCACAATGAGGTTCCTGGTTCTGAGATGTTGAGAATTTTTTTTTCAAAGAATTATTTTGTTTAGAGAAGCTACCATTGTACACATTTTCATCCTTTATCAAGTCCCACTCAAAATTTCCCAAAGGGAAAGGCATTATGTGAGAATCATTAAAAATGAAAGTTAAAAAGGTGCTGGAGAAGTGTGGTCTACAATGTTGAAATGCTGGGATTTTGTCAAGCAGCAATGGTCACCATGCAGTCCATACCAGAGGACCAAGAGAAGGCAAGAGAGGGTGAAGGGGGTATTGCCAAAATAGCAAAGTTAGAAGGAGAAACGAGTAGCTGGGGGAGGGAAGCTCCTTAGCTGAGGGTTTATGGCAAGGGCAGGGGAGGAGGTGAGAAAAACCAGGTACTTGACTAAGCAAGCCTGGAGGCCAGCATGTGCTTTGGTATGCTGACAGGTCCCACAGATAGCCCTTTGTCCTTTCTGCAGTGATAAGGTAGTTTAACTGGCTCCTTTGATAGAGGGGAACCCAGCCTTACAAGTTACTAAGTAATGCTATTTTTTGTCTTTTAATGCTATCTTTTGTCTTTTTTTAAAATAAATTTATGGTGGCACACACCTTTGATCTCAGTAGAGGCAGGCGGATCTTTGTGAGTTCGAGGCCAGCCTGGTCTCCAGAGCAAGTGCCAGGATAGGCTCCAAAGCTACACAGAGAAACCCTGTCTCCAAAAACAAAACAATTTATGTATTTTACATCCCTGCTGCAGCCCCCCTCCCTCCCAGCCTACTTCTGTTCCCACCCTCCCTCCCCCTCTATTTCTGTTCAGAAAGGGGCAGGTTTCCCATGATTATCAACAAAACATGGCATATCAAATTGCAGTAAGACTAAACACCTCCCCTTGTATTAAGGCTGGGTAAGGCAACCCAGTATAAGGAGTAGGTTCCCAAAAACCAGTGAAAGAGTCAGACAGCCCCTGTCCCCACTGTTAGGAGCTTCACAAGAGGACCAAGCTACACAACTATAATATATATGGAGAGTACCCATGTCAGTCCCATGTAGGCTCCCTGGTTTTTATTTTAATCTCTAAGCTCCTATGTGCCCAAGTTAGTTGATTCTGTGAGTTTTCTTGTGGTGTCCTTGACCCCTCTGGCTCCTACAATCCTTTCTCCTCTTCTGTAGGATTCCCCAAACTCCACCTAATGTTTGGCTGTGGGTCTCTATATATATCTGTTTCCATCAATTGGGATAGGCACCAGTCTAGTCACGAGACAGCCAGTTCAGGCTATGTATCCACTATTGCTAGGAGTCTTGGCTGGGGTCATCCTTGTAGATTCCTGGTAGATTCCCTTGTGCCAAGTTTTACCTGACCACAAAAAGTTCCCCCTCCCCTTTCCAGTAGCCTCTTTTCAGTACTCTCCCTGGCCCCAGTCTGTTCTCTCATGTTCCCTGCTTAACTCGCTTGTAGGGGGAAAGGGCCAGCCAAAGAAACCTATCCTGGCCCTGAAACCAGAGCTAGTGAAAAAGACACTTTAGCCCTGAACCCAGAACCAAAGAAACATACCCTGACTCTCTGAAAGCAGAGACAAAGAAACACACTTTGGCCCTACAACCAGAACCAGTGAAAGAAATGTGCCTTAGCCAAGGGGGCACAAATTGAAATGGAGGAAGTCAAAGTATCATTATTCGAAGATCATATGATAGTATACATAAGTGACCCCAAAAACTCTACCCAGGAAACTAATATAGTTAATAAATCCCTTTAGTCAAGTGGTTGGATACAAGATTAACTCAAAAAAATCAGTAGACCTCCTATATACAAATGATAAATGGGTCGAGAAAGAAACCAGAGAATCAACACCCTTTAAATAGCTTCAAATAATAAAAAATATCTTGGGGTAACTCTAACCAAGCCAATGAAAGACCTGTATAACAAGAACTTCAAATCTTTGAAGAAAATATCAGAAAATGGAAATATCTCCCATGCTCATGTATTGATAGGATTAACAGTAAAAATGGTCATTTTATCAAAAGCAATCTATAGATTCAATGCAATCCCCATTGAAATCCCAACATACTTCTTTACAGACCCTGAAAGAAAAATACTCAACTTCCTATGAAAAAACAAACAAACAAAAAAACCCAGGATAGCTAAGACAATCCTGTACCATAAAAGAACCTCTGAAGAAATCACCATCCCTGCCGGGCGTTGGTGGCACAAGCCTTTAATCCCAGCACTCGGGAGGCAAAGGCAGGCGGATCTCTGTGAGTTCGAGGCCAGCTTGGCCTCCAGATTGAGTGCCAGGATCGGCTCCAAAGCTACACAGAGAAAAAAAAAAAAAAAAAAAAAAAAAAGAAAAGAAAAGAAATCACCATCCCTGACTTCAAGCTCTACTACAGAGCTATAGTAATTAAAAACAGAATAGTACTGGCATAAAAACAGACAGGTAGGTTAATGCAATCAAATAGAAGACCCTGACATAAATCCACATACCTATGGACACTCAATTTTCAACAAAGAAGCAAAAATTATACAATGGAAAAAAGGAATCTTCAACAAATAATACTGGTTCAACTGGATGTTGGCACACAGAAAAATGAAAATAGATCCATATCTATCACCCTGCACAAAATCCAAGTCAAAGTGGATCAAAGACCCTACATAAAACCAATTACACTGAATCTGACAGACGAGAAAGTAGGAAATAATCTCCAACACATTGGCACTGGAAACAATTCCTGAACAGAACACCAGTAGCACAGGTACAGCAATAAATGTGACCCCGTGAAATCGAAAAAATTTTTGTAAGGCGAAGGACACCATCAATAAGACAAAACAGCAGCCTAGAGAATGGGTAAAGATCTTCCACATCTGACAGAAGGCTGATTTCCAAAATACATAAATAACTCAAGAAACTAGTTATCAACAAACCTAATAATCTAATTTAAAAATTGGGTACAGATCTAAACAGAGAATTGTCAACAAGAATCTCAAATGGCCAAGAAACACTTAAAAAGATG